CCCCCCCCCCCCCAATTTTCCCCCCCCCCCCCCCCCCCCCTGTTCTCGAGGATAGCCTCCCATTTATTTATAAGTTTGCCTTAGTTTTGTGTGGGAAGGATTACACATGTAACCATACAGAAAAGCTCGAAATCTCAAAAAATACAACACTATAGTTGTTGATGTAGCTGATGAAATCATGAGTTTATAGGGCAATTGGATGAAAGTATATTTGCTTTGATAGTTAGCCTCATCCGAAAGAATTTTTGAATTAAATCATAAGAAATGATCCAGATCTACTATTATTATTATTTCGTTTGATGAGATTAGCTAGACTTCATCAAATGTCTTCAATGAGTGGGATATGTTGAATTGCCTTCATAAATTGGTTAAATTTAATCATCGATTTATGCTTTTATAAATATACTCGAAAAATTCTTATTTGATAAGGAGCCTAAAATATCCTCATACTTTGTTAAAGTTGATCCTTTATTAATATAGACATATAAAATATCTAAATTTTAATATTTACCACTATACCACTACAATGTTATAATCACATCAAAATAATAAATGATGAAAATACATATATCACGGTGAGCCATAAAATGATCAGATTTATATTAAGATATCATGATTTTCCCTTGTAATAACAATAATAATAATAAAAAAACACTAAACATATGGTATTTTGGTAATTACTTCCAAGAGTCAGGTCCATTCCTTCCGACCTCCCAAATAATTAGGTCTCCCAAGCCAACCCATTCGCTCCCGCGCCCCAAAATCTTCGCTTTACCTTTCTTCCATGGCCACTCCTTGCATTCTCCTCCTCCTCCCCCTCTTCCTCATTCCCATCTCCTCCTCTTCATCCTTCCCTCCTTCGTCCCTAGTTCTCTCCTCCTGCGCCCACGCACGTTACCCTTCTCTCTGCATCCGCACCCTCTCCCCCTCCGCCGCCCGCACCCCCCCCGCTCTCGCCGTCGACGCCGTCTCCGCCGCCGCTACCTCCGCCCACAGCGCTCTCTCCTTCCTCCACCGCTTCTCCCATCCTCCGCCCACCGTACGCGATTGTGCCGAGCAGATCTCCGACTCCAGGGACCAGCTCGCTAGCGCGGCGGCCGAGATCCGCAGCCTCCGGAGAGAAAACTCGCGGTGGCAGCTGGACAACGCACTGACATGGGCTAGCGCCGCGCTTACTGATCAGGACACCTGCCTCGATGCCATCCGCCGACTACCTCCTTCAGCTCGCCGCTCCGTCTCAGCACACGTATCGGAGGCTCGGAGAGTTACGTGCAACGCGCTTTACTTTGTCTCTCGTCTCGCAGGCGCCACCCCGCACCGCCGGCGCTGAGAATAATAGGTTTTTTTGTGTGAGGTTTAGTATTTCTTGAAGGTTTGTTGGCATGTGTCGGGTTGTGTGTCAGTGGGTGTGAGTTTTGTTTATTGTAGTTGTTTGGTTTGGTGTGGGTTTAGGAACTAGAAAATGGTATATTGGGAATGCGTATGCCAAGCACTCGTAGTCGTAGCTACTTTTCTCTATTCCCGCACGCATATATGTGTATGCGCGTCAATATATATATATATATATATATATGAGAATCCTAAGGTGCAGCAGAGGTACTATGTTTATAATTATCATCTTGCACCTTCGTCTACTATAATGGAGTTATTTTAGCTACATGGAAAATCCACCATCAAACGGTCAAAGTTTATGCTAAATTTTATAATAAACTGGGATTCATTGCATTATAACATTTTAAGAAGAGATGCCTCAAAGTCTGCAGTTAAACCTACATGGTTATTTTACATAATTTTATTTTGGTAGGAGTAATATGATAAATTACTACTGACAATAAATTATTTTCCTTCAACTTTTATGAACATAAATAATATGTCAGCACTTTCTGAGATTTAATGGTCTAAATTTTAAGAGTACGGTGAAGGTGGGCCCACTACCAGAACGTGAAGTCGATTTGTTCAATCAAGTGAAATTTTCCTAGCCGAGGCACCAAGGCCAAGTCAATCAGACAAGGAGGTGGATAAAAAGGAAACCGGACGACCCAGGCCCCAATTAATTGGCTAGATTCAAGGCAAAAAAGAAAAAAAAGAAAAAAAAGCATTTGAGTCGATGTTATAGAAAAGTTAACCTGGTGCAATAGCCAACCCTCATGTGGAACCCATCCAAGGGAATATCTGGTTTCACAATATCTCCAACCATCTGAGGGACGCCATATATCTTTCTCATTAAGGAGTAAGGGTCGACAATCAAGACGTATTAGTCGGATGATCCATCATGACAAAACCCGACAGATTGAGTGAATCCTGCCGACCTTAAGTCAACTAAGCTTAGTCGATCGAGCCAGAAAGTAATCTCATGATAAGCTCATATATGCAAAATATCCAAAATATTCAATACGAATCGACCGCTCCAGCCCGGTCATCCGACTACATTGGTTCGACTGGGTCAGCTACCTCAGTCAGGTCGACCGATCATATCAGTTTTACCAGTCGTTTTGTCCCGGTTGACCGACCACCTTGGTTTGATCGGTTGTTCCGGCTCAGTCGACTAATCAATTAAGTTTGACCAGTCGTTTGGCTCGGTCTACCACCACATTGGTCCGACTGGCCTCCCCGACCCGATGGATCGATCACATAGGACTGACCCGACGCTCCCTCG